GCGAACGCTTTAACAACGATCGCGGGTCAACGACTGGACCCCTGGACCCCAACCTTTAAAACGGGAACCCTTCTGCTACGCATTCGGGAAAATATCTTTGACATGCGAGCTTGCAGTCCCATGCCAATCGTCTTCGGCCAAGTGTCGAATGCGCCACGACAGCACCTTTGCTGTTGTGCTCGTCTTCTTCGTGGTACCCACATGTGGGGCAGGAGGACATCTGAGACTCCAAGTTTTTCCAAGCAGCAGTTGGCTCCCACTATGACGCACAGAATTCCAAGAAATTCGATGCGACTTGACATTTCGCTAGGCAGATGCGGGGAGCCGCGCCTGACAGCCCCGGCTTCAATGCAAGTGCTTGGCAGCTCTTGTGAGCTACTGTCTGCTTTGGGTTGTCGACTCCAACCTTTCCTTCTTGCGCACATTCCCCGCCTTCAGCTTAGGCATGAAGACGACAGCTGGCGACCATGGATTAGTAAGCCGGATGCTGCACTGCTGCGGCAGGAACTCCTATGGTAAGTACTTCGTGAAACTGTAGGCAGGGGCTCCGACCTGTCACTGTCGCAAATGCACGCCCTCCAATAAAATCCTGACAGTACATGCCTCTCACCCGCAACTTTCATGTGCAGAAGATGCTCAGTGAACAAACTCCCAGCGCGGCGCAACCGATAGGTTTGCAAAATACTAGAGACTAATGTCATCTTGGCTTCTGCCAAAAAATTTTTTGTACAGAATCGACAAGTGTAGTCTAGTCATCAAAGTACTGGTGTAGTCTAGTCATCCGAGTACTTGGGGGCTTCGGGCACAAGATCCAAAAGCACGGCTCTATCGCCAAGAAACAGGGCCTCTGAATTTCTGACTGACGGGCCGCCTGACACCAGGAAGTATTCCAGGCAGGAAAACTTAGGTCTCGTCCGAATCGGTTTACTCTGTTCGAAACACGTTCCCTCATGATGTGCGCGCCTTCGGTGGGTGGGTGGTCGCGCTAGGGACTCGCTGGCAAGCGTCGTGCAATGTCGTGCAGCTGCAGCTTCGCGGTTAAGCACGTTCCTTGCTAAGGAGGCCCTGTGCCTCGGCACACAGTCTTCCGCTTTTGTACACGTGCGGTCTGGAGAGATGACTTTCGCTTCTTAGTTTTCCGTCTCAATGCATCTGGAGCCCACCTCTGTTCACGAAGCCAAACGATGTCTGAGCGGCATCTTCATTGCTCAGAGTCCAATCAGTAGCTCACGGCTATGTTTCCAAACTTGTTGTCAACCAAAATGACAGTTGCAAACGAGGCCGGTCAATCTGAGAACTCGAAACTCAAGGCAGCTTTGTTGCTGCAGACATGCAATCGAGCATGCCCATGCTGTTGAATTCAGGCTCTGAGTCACCTGGAAGCCTACCTCCATTTTTTTTTGCTTCTTTCAAGGCTGCGGGATTCCAGGGGAAAAAGCCTGGGAACCTGTACTCTGCACTGGCAGCCTTGTCAAATGAGCTCACGGGTTTCACCACCTCTGCGATCCGAACCAGCACTTAAAGAATCAGCTTTGCAAGAAGTGCTGGTGGTGAGACCGGTGGCCCATTGTCTTTATGACCCGGCCAGCCAGCCTCCAGGTATGCCGATCTAAGTAGGGGACCCCTCGTTGAAATAGCACGCCGAAATGCCGAGCCGACTGTCCAGCAATCTTGGACTCACTGCGTCAGCCTGGGGAAGAGCACAGCGGTCAACTCCTTAGTGTCTTCAAATTTCACCTTTCTCGTCATCATATACCCAACGCTGGAGACCACCACAGACATCGGGGAGTGCAGATGCGCGGCAATCCTTCGCCGCCAGAGCTTGCGAGGCAGGCCCGGTACTCACCGACGTTGATCTTGTCCACAGGGCAAAGTGCGGACCTTACAGAAGGTTTTGACTCGTACTCATAACTTTCGAAAATCACCCTGCTACAAACAACTGCGCTCTGTACTGCAGTGTCGGCAACCACCGCTTTGGCCTACAGATCTAGTTGGATTTCGGCGTCCTGTGTCAGGAGAGAAGCGTGTGCTTTTCGTGCATTGGAGACTATGTTGTGTTCGCATGCCAAGGCTTGACCAACGCCCGCCAATGAACAACGAAGCACAACGCAGGACAGGATGGATAATGGAGCAGAAAGCACCAAAGCCGCTGTGTGGGTTGTGGCCTTAGCATCTTAGTCACTAGGCATTGCGTCGAGGGTCGTCTCTGTGAGCCAGCGGTCGATACAACTCCTGTGAAATCGATGGCCGCAAGGAAGCAGCGTTCGAAGAACTTCTCCAGTCTCAAACTCGTCCAGGCATATACCGCAAGATGCGGGCTCCTTGGAACCCAGCTCGTAGACCTCTGTCGGGAAGACATGGAGGCATTTGCCTTCCAATGTTTCGCGCTTGAGGTTTTCGTCGAGCCTTCCGAGCAGATCGTAGTCTTCCGGTCGGATCTCCCGCCCTTCCAGCGACTTGAGCTGACGGTAGGTTTCGTCATCCAAGCCCAGCTGTGCTGCCATGGCACGGTCGCAGTCGTCATCTTGCCCATGCAGGGTAAAGGAATCCATGAGGAAATGCTCGGTGGTCCGCCATGCTGCATGTGGTGGACGGTGGCGTTTTCTTGTTTCCTTACACTGACGCCTCTCCTGGGCCTGGACTTTGAGCCCTTCGGATTTCCGAGCCTCCTTGATGCGGAGCTTCTCTGCACGGCGTTCCTCAATGATGGAGTCCCGGAGCTCTCTCCGCCGCGCGCGCACTGTATCCACATCTCCTTAGCTCTGGCAAGAGCTGAGATGCTATGACGCTTACGAGGACTCAATGGGGTCGGGAAGCCATAAACAGGCAAGGCGCCATGTCGTCTCTCCCATTTCTCAACTTGCCTGCATGTTACTCCAGGGCCATAGACTCGGTAGTCCACGTCGAAGTTGCACCATCCGATGTGGTGTCGCAGCACCCTGGAAACTAAGTGCAGCCTCAGCTGTAACCATAATATACATCGTCCTTCTGATGAGTACTTCCTCACGCTTCAAGCCCGAACCGCCACCCCAAGTGCTGACACCCTCCACCAGCGAAGGGTTTGCAGCAAAGGTGCCATCGGGTCTGTGCTATCCGCTGATGGGGAGGAAGCCTGGGGTTAAAATTAAAACGTGCACATGCACCTCACCAAACTAACATGCAACAAAGCAAAGAACAAATGAGCTTTCGCCAAGTCACCGGTGGCCGTGCTCAAACTCACGGCCTCGACAGCTTTGTGGCTGCACCCTTCGGGTTCCACGCGGCAGAGCTGTGTGCGGCCGCAGCGGGTCAAACTCCTCCTGCGTCAGCATTTTCGAGTCTCCCCCTCCCCAGCCGCAAAGCCCAGCCTACTGATCCACATCAGAAGCCTTGTGACCTTGGCCTGGTCTGAACCTGTTCAGGCAACGCGAGTCCGCGCGGTCGAGAATCGGATCTGGGCCGAAAAAACCTGCAGCTTCGCACGCTTCGAGGCTAAGCCCTCGCACTCGAGTGCAAACCCAAGCCATACACATCCTCACCGGAAAATCGTGAATAGAGTGGCTCAGGTCATGCTGACAGACTTCGGACGTGGCTTCAAGATCAGGTCGGGAGTCATGGGGCACCACAGCCATATGACCGACAGAGCCCACATGGGCCCTAGGTAAACAAAGATACTGAATCTTTGCACCCACGAAAAAAATGCCGAGACAGACTCACCAGAATGCAGCTGCACCCCGCATGGAAAGCTGAGCTAATCGACAACTCTATGGTGGCGGGTGGCTTTTTTCGTAGTCGTCCCACTCTTGGGAACTCCAAGCCGGCAGCGGCGGTGCCGTCTCTAAGTGTTCCACCTGAGTTGCACTGTCGGTATGCCCACGAAGAATGTGTCTATAAACATATATACATATAATTATATATACACATGTAACGTATGCGTGTGCATATGTGTATGTATATACATATATACATATGTATGTATGTGTATATATATATATATACATATGAACTCACGCTTCTGTGAGTGTGCGTCCTTGTATGTGCAGATCAAACCCAAAGCAACCCATCACAGCTTAGCCCCTGTAGTTCTGCTATTCTTGTGTGCGCTTGTCCGCTATGTGTTTGCTTTCGGTGAACAAGGAATTTTTAAATAGTTGTTCCCAGGCGCAAGTACATGAAGCTCCACTGTCTGTCCGTCGCTGGAGACAACAAGGCGAATGTGTTTGCGAAAACCTTCGGCGGCAAGCACAAGATCGGTACCTGTACCACTATCAAAGTACGTCGTCTATCCACTCGGAACCAACAACACGTGGGCAAATGCTTCCCATGCCTGGTGGCGGCGAGCCAGATGCTGGCATTACGGCGGCAAGTAAATGCCGGGACAAAGCGGCTCCTTGAAATTTGCTCCTTGCTGCTTTGATACAGATGATTGAGTTGGTCTTTTTGGGCTTATGTGCTCATTCTCTTCTTCAACGGGAGGATGGCTTCTGCATCTTGGTTATGTGTTTCATGATCGAGGGGCTCCCCCGTGTGATGCTGGAGCCGCAAGAACGGAATCATCTTGGACACTCATTTCATCGCAGCTCTTGGGCTGCGAGGTCAATGCCGACTCAAATTTCTCCGCGTCGCGATTCAACACCCATCCATGGTCGATAATCAGCCCCTTTCTGGTTTCAAAGCTTGCCTGCCCGGCTCGAGGGCCTATGCCCCTCCTTGATAGGAGGCGCTGGCTTCTGTCAGTGTTTTTTTATTAAGGCCGAGCTTGACACTTCAAAGGTTAAAAGCATCACCGCGCATCTAGCCTTCACCATTCCAAACGGTGTGGTGAGCCGGGCAGGCTCTGCTTGACACAAACCTTGAGTGTTTAGACTTATTCGAAGCAGTGGCAAAGTGCGTCCAGCTTGTAAGCTCAGGTGGCACAGCTCTCAGTACGGGCTGTAGCCCTTCCCCCCAGTTGTATCCTGGCAACTGGTGGGTGTAAACCTCACACTCCCAGGGTAGCAACAACAGTTTCTACTTGATGGGGTACTGCTGTGACCATGAGCAAGGCAGCCAGGTTGACGTGAGGAGCCGCACCATAGCAGCCGTAAGCACCTGTCTTCGACAACCCTGGAACTGTCCGCAGGAGTGTTCGAAAGCACGTTCTATTTTTTTGCCCCCTGCATGGCTGAACTAAAGCTCGTTGGGGGCCTTCTCTGTGTGGACTTCTGTAGGATTGAGCTTGCACAAACGATTTCGCTATATCCAGCCGCTAGCCATCAAAAGGGAGCCTTGACCACCACAGGCATCATAGCCTCCACAGCCGCCTTCGTCGAGACTGTTGTTGATATTGGGTCTGGAGTGAAGGTGACAGCCATCCGTGTTACAGCATATCGGGCTGCCTCCGTAGCCACCGAAAGCTCCGTAGCCGGCGCAGCCACCTACACGACATTAGCCATCATGCTGCAACCCTGTTCGACATCTGGCGCATGCCCAGTCCGTGTCGTGAGCAACCAAACAATTGAACGATATGGCTGTCAAAACATCCGCAAAGGACGGCAGTTGTGTACTTCTGGGTACCAGTTTCTAAACACCCTCAATTGGATGGAGCCCGCATCGGAGAGTGGCGCCTGCATAGCCGCCACAACCACCACCTGTGATCTCTCACCATTCTTCGCCGCACCGTGCAACTGACTCGACTCGACACAGGTCGGACATACAAGTACCGCCATGCAACCACAGACGCACATGCGCGCCACTCTGATGCGCCCAACCGTCAAGCTTCTCGCCAACACCAATTCAAGACCAATTTAAAACCAAGAGGACATCTGCACGTGAAAAACCTCGCTTGCGAGCGAATACTGTTTACCTGTAGGCTTGCACTCGCGAAAGTGTTTCTGCATCATGTCACCGTGATTAACCCCTTAGAAGATCCCGTGAACATTTGCCACTCCTCGCGCCTGTTAGAGATGCCGTGAATGCAGGTGTTCAATCTTGCTATCACTCGTGGTTCTCGCAGCTTGGCCGGGCTTCTCTTGCTGGGCCGCAAAAGACTGCACAAACAACGACATGAGCGCTCTTGCCCAGGGCTGCTGAAAAATGCATGATTCTTTGGCTTTGGATGTCCACGCTTCGGGCGCGGAGCTACTGCAAATGATCCACGAAGAGCCAAACCAGCCTAATCGCAACCATGTCATCCCATGTGTCATTGCAGAGCACTGTGGCATGTTTCGATTCTTAAACCATCCCTCACTCTCAAAACAGGCAAACTTGGCGCATACTCTGCCTTTCTGTCTTGCTTCCGTGGATCGCTTGCACTAGAGGGGGGGGCCGTGGTGTTGTCTGGTGTCTGTGAGTTGGTCGCCACTTTCGCGTGCCGTTGTGTTTGCTTTTCACTGCCATCCTGCAAAATTGTCCCAATGGGAGTTGCGATAGTAGATATAGGTGCAGCAACTTGCCAGCAATATGGCAAGCCGATTGTAATTGTTGCTGCACTGGTGGTGATGGTGATCGACTTCGTGCCAGTCACTGTTGCCGTATTTGCGATGTGAAGTGGCGCCGCATGTCGAAGACTCCATAACTTGCGAAAGTCGCGAGGAACTTGACACTAACAGCTCCACTCCTAGGGCGTTTGGCAAATCTTTATCCTAGTCTTCGAGGACGCCGCCTGTCACAAGGATCGCACCCCGACGCTCGATCCCTTTGACTGTCAGAGTCAGCATATTCTCAAGCATGTACGTAGGTAAGTAGGTAGACGGTTTTCTACGTAATCACAAAAACCGCATAAGCCTGCATTATCATGTTGTACTCCCCCTCTAAGAAGCTTGCCGCCGTAGGCCCCGGCTGCGGCGGCGCCTCTGAATTATGGCAACATGCATCGACTTTGTACGTAACTCTTCGCAGGCAGCTCCAAAGACAAATCATACGTTCTGATTGGGCAAAACATCCTTAAGTCCCGGCCTCCATAAGCACCACAGCCGCTTCCCCCACAGCCGGCGGGCGGTGGAAATGCGGCATAGCCTCCATAGCCTGATGAGGCGTTTTTGGCTGTGCTGTCCCGGTTTTAGGGAGTGTGCGTGAGCATGCGTGAGTTCAGTCGTGCTGCTTATCTCATGAGCAGTCGGGGTACGGATCGCATGTGAGCGATAGCGTCCTACTTGGGTACCACATTCTCGCCAAGGAGAGTCCCCACTATCAACGACTCACCCTAGACGCAAAGCCCCCAGATTCCTGGAGCGTGCGTTGAACCTCCAAATCACTCCGACCTTGCTGAACGCAATGCACATGATTTCTTCTTCGAGCGAGAGCGCAGCCCAGGTCTCTGCAGTCTTGGGTCGCTGATCGCGCGGAAACACTTGCCAAGATGGTGGGGTGGCTCCACCCCCCAACACATTGGTCAAGCTAGCAAGCTGCTGATTGGTCCAGCAAGCTGTGCATCTCCGACCAGGGTGCTCTCCGTTGCAAGGGCAACCAGGCTCGGAGCGACCGCTTTAGGCTAGTAGGGCCAGTACTTTCTGTATGATGGCTGCTGAATGGCAGGAATGCGGGAGATGTTGAGATCAGTGTTCAGTATTAAATTGAGGATTGTCTGCGGTGCAAACATTGCCAAAACTTAAAAATGTTTAACCGTTCACCAGCCTCGGTGCCACACGCCTCTGAGCGTGGCAAGGCACACATTCGTGAGCCTGAAACTGAGGCAATCATGCAAATAATTAGCCGAGGTAGCACCGCACTAAGCAGTTCGAGAATCTAGTTTTACCGCTCAGGTGCACGAATCTCGGTACTCCCTGCGAAGTAAATCTGCAGACATGCCGATGGCTGAGCTGCCGTTCTTCAAACATGGCTCCGTACCCCAACGAGGAATGCAAGCAACCATGAAATACTGTTCTTCTTCTTATGCAAGCAAACAAGACCAAGATCAAAGATATTAGGGACGGCAACCACAAGTGCTGTGAAGCAGGCACGGGCCAGGTGAGTCCTGCTTCTGTAGCTTCGGATAAAAAATACAAATTTGGATGTCTTTTCACCTTCCTGAGTCTAAGTACCCATAAACTATGCCATAAACATTTCGGGCTTACCGTTAGATCAGACATCCAAAGGAATCTCAATGCCACCCTTATGCCAGCTCGGATGCAAGCTCATGAACTCTCGGAGCGCCATGGTCTTCAAGGAGCCCTTGCAGGGAAGCTGCGAAACGACAGCCCAAACCTTAACATCCAAGTTCGAAAAACACAGCGTCATGTAGCTTCATAGCGTTGCGAGTAACGAGCAAGCACCGAAGATACCCCAACCTTCACCAAATCCAGCACGTCCCGGTGCGAGCCGAAATTGTCGCACTCCCGAGCGAAGTCGGCCGCAGTCCGGCCCTTGGACGTCCTCTGTTGCAGATCGGCACCGGCGCTGACCAGCAGGCGGACCATCTGAGCATCCCCGAGGCTGGCAGCGACATGGATTGGATAGACAACTTCACGCATGAAGGACAAGCACGAAACCTTCGGCTCATCGACGCTTCCGCTGAAGTTGTGCTTGTGCAAGAACTGCATGACCTGCTCCTGGTTCTTCTGTCGCCGCTGCCGCTTCTTCACGTAGAGCCGCAGGCTGTCCCCAGAGTACAAACTGTCGCAGAACTCTTCGGAAGAGTCGGAACAAGCAGAGTCCGTGGAGTTGCTGCGGTACGGCTGAGACGCGCTCTCATCTCCAAGAATGGGCAGAGCCGAGTCAACTTCTTTATCTTCCGGCTGAATGGAGGCAGAGCAATTCGGTGCCATGGCTATCGACTTCTACAGCTCACTTTGCTCGGTGTCTTCCGGGGGGCCAAACAGAGAGCCATAAAAGATCGCACCGCCAGGAAAGATCAGGAACGTCTACCGCCAGCACTCAGACTCAAGTCATGGAGGACCACAACGCAAAATGCCTCTCTTTCTCAGGTATTACATCTCTGAATAAAAACTGAATAAAACAAGGGTTGACACCTTCTTCGTGTCCGGTGCAGAAGAAAGCCACTGTACATGTATAATTATGTAACTATGGGCACACAGGGCCCATCAGTGCGCGTCCAACCAGTGGATCTGCTCGTCAAGTCTGTCGCTCTCCGAGCAGACATGGTCAAGCTTGTCGCTCTCAGAGCAGACATCACACCGAGGAAGACACGGACGTGCATTTCGAAATCATTGGTCATGGCGCGAAAGGCTGCAGGGAAGTCTCTCCAAGCTATTCCCCGAGCTCAAACTAAAACACAGAGAAGATGCCGAGTCTTTGCTGCTCTGCAGTAGACCGGATGATTGCCGGGTCTGGGGTCATCTACACTCTACACCTGTGGAATGGAGCGTCCATAGGTCACAGTGGAACACCACACCCATGCTTTTGAAACACATGAGAGTCAACTCCGCCTTGAACATGACGTGTTAACGTCTCAAGGACCATCTGAATGTTGAAAAATCCCGGGCAATGTTGCGAAGATTTGCGAAGTACCACACTATCGGCCACATCTTGGGCCAAGTCGACACAACCCTGCCGGGACCTGTTTCTGGTGGCCTGCGAAGGCTGAAATTGTGCTTGCTTGTTTTGCAAGGTTCCGAGGATGCATGTGCCGACGACGCCCAAACGATGTGATGGAAGATGCGCACATGTTTGTGGGAAAAAGTTTACGTGCATGACGGATTTGCTTATGCTGTCCGATCAAGCCTCAATCCCAAGCCAATCAACTTGATCTCTATCATATGTGCCATGCCCGGCGCACATCATCAATGATTCATTAGCGACATGAACTCTCGGAGGGCCATTGTCTGAATCTTACCTCTGAGCAGATCAAGAACATCCCGGTGTGAGCCAAAATCGTCGTGCTCGAGGGCGAATTCGGTCGCTGTCCTTCCCTTGGACGTCCTCTGTTGTAGATCAGCACCTGCCTTTACCAGCAGGCGCAGCATCTGAGCATCCCCGAGGCTGGCAGCGACATGGATGGGATATAACGCTTCTTTGCCGAACCCGGTGCAGGACATGCGTGGTAGCCTGGGTTCACCCACGTCTTCGGAGAAGTTGTGCTCCTTCAGAAACAGCTCCAGCCGCTCTTTGTTCCGCTGCTTCCTGAGCCGTTGCTTAGCGAAGGTCTGCACAGAGATTTCAGAGTCTGTCGAATCCCACGAGGAGATGCCGCATAACCCAGTCTCCGATTTAACGTCGTGGACGAAGCCCGCCGAAAGTGGTTGCCCTTCTGGCTCTGGGACATCTTGATCGTCCTGAAAGTCTTTGGGGTCCCAAGCTGGGGGCACCTCTGACTCCACCTCTGCAGCACAGGGCTGCAGAGAGATATGCATCGAAGGCGCCATGCTGGGTTAGAGCGAACGGCCTTGAGCCTTTGGGTTAAGCGAGGGCGTGAGGCGAGCACGTGGTTCAAGGTATTCTGCTTGGGGGGTGACCTGTGAGGCTCGCCACAGATCACAGCTGGGGCTTTCCAGGGATAGCCGAGCTTGAACAAGCGCAACGTTCCCTTGCAGCCGTGGGGCTCTTGGCTCCGTAGCTTCCATCGGGCTTACCGCCTCCACGACAGCAGCTCTTGTTTGCATGCGACTTCCGCACTGCTGGGTCGAACCGTAGGGAGTCGGCAAGGGGAAGAGAGGGATCCGCTAGTCCCCTTGGGCATCTTTGCCGTTGGTGGTGCGAGCTTGTGCGACTTGGCATCTGTACAAGAGTTCTGCACGTTCGTATTGCATTCATGTTCGATCTGTAGCTGCGTGGCTTTGTACATTTTTCAAGCACCGGGGTAGTTCGGTGGAGCAATTTTCTGGGGCCGCAAATTTTTTTCGATGTCCCTCCCGCCGTTGCTTGATCGAGAGTGTTGGGCATGGGTGCATTGGCTGATGCAGGGCTACCATTGTCAGCGCTTGGCTGATGTCGGCTAGATTCCATCGTTACGAGCAGCCGTTTGGTCAGTGAAATTTGCTGGCCGTACATTCCACTATCTTCACAAGACGAAGGAAGGGCGTGAGTCTGCGGGTGAAATCTCGTCTTCCATGCTCATGGTGTCTGTGCCGTTAGAAAGCCGCTGGAAGTAGCCTTCTAAAGCTTACTGTGCATTCTTGTTCGGATCTGTGTTCAGGGTGTTTTGACTCGTTAGAATCGTTGGGATTCCTCCTTCCTGCCGATCTTACCCAATCAGACATGGGTTGCGAAGGAGCTATTCGCCGAGTGCCTTTCCAATCTCCGGCTCGGTCCTTCCTTGCGAGGAGACGGGGGATATGGGGGGTGCAGTTGTCGAACAACTGATGGGGGCTTTGTCTGGCAGTGAATTCAACTCATACTGCCTGGCTTTGCGCCCAAGTGCTTATGATGAGTGCCCAAAGTCTGGAAGCGCTTCAACAACGCTGCCTGATAATTTAGGCTTCTGACACAGCGCCGAGGCTCCCCATGCCTTTGGGCATACCTTTGCCGAAATCCTTGCCGCCACCACCTTTGCTCGGAGCTCCCTTGGTACCCTCCGCTGTGGCAGGTTTGCCTCAGCCGTTCCGCCAGATGTCGGTCTAAGCCACACACACACACACACTCCCTGTTAGGGTTTTAGTAACCGTAGAACATAACCGAACCAGAAATTGCTGTCCAGCAGCAGTCGATCCACTTGCCCATGATGTTATGCTCCTCTGCAAGCCGTTCTCAGGGTTCTTCACTTACCAAGCTCGTGAAAGCCATCTGCGCATCGTACAACAAGCAATCTACTGCACGACCTGCACGATCCCAGGACCTCCACAGCACCGAACCGTGGAGTCCCACATCAACCCAATACCGAAACAGTATCCTACAGAAGCACGCTATCTACACTTCCCATCCTTGTGCATGGACATAATGGCATCTACTGGCTCAGGGGTCTCGTAAGAGACGAAGCCAAAACCGCGGGAACGCCCAGTTCCGCGATCTGTCATGACCTCCGAGCACATCGATGGCCCTCAAATTGGATTCGCCGCCCACTGAAGAGTAGCAGAATCAAAGAGTGCTAGCTAGCGCGTCGGACACTCTGGCGACAGGCGCTGCCCCCCGGAAACCTTAACGTTGCCACTCACTTGTAGCCGGCTCATCCCAGCCCGTAAGAAGTCCTCAACCTGCACAGCTAGCCACACCCCTTCCCCTTCAAGCGGGTCGGTGTTGCCACTACATCCGTCAGCGTTCCGAAGGTGGAGAAATACTCGCTTAGAACCTGACTGTTGAAGCGAGTAGAGGCAGGTTCTGGTGTACCACCACTCCCCAAACACACAGCACGAACGAATGTGCACGTTTGGTTTTCCACAGGCAAGAGGCATCTGTCGTAACTTCTTGAGGTAGCCCACCGACAAACACCTGAGAATTTCAACGTTAACAGCCCCTGAGCAGGCACTCCTGCATGATGGGCCACAGTCTGGAGAGTTTGCTGTTGAGAATTGTTGAATGCAGTGATCTGCACCGACTCTCTGAGATGTAACGATGTGCTAGTGGCAATCTGCGCGGTGCCTTATAGGGGCCGCCCTTCCCTGCCATGATGTCCACACCGCTCAGCGCTGGAGCAGGTCTGTAGATACGTAGGTGGTTCCCATTTGACATGCAGACTGGTTGGCTGTGCATCTGTTTGTGCGTGTGCTGCTCGGTGTTTTCGTGCCTTGCATCTGCCGACAGGCAACGTACCTGTGGCTGCCACTAAACAGGAAGTCAACCGTGGCAATCATACTCGAGGCGAAACTGCTGCCCGAAGTCTTGGTCTGCACATGGCGCATGCGAGACTAGGGCCTTGGCGGGGGCTTCATGCTTCAACCGAGTTCCAACCTTTGAAGGGTGGCTTGGTCCTGTCCAACCTCGCCTGTGTAGTAGGACGAGCTTTGCTGTGCTCCACAGTCCTGCGCGGTCTTCGTTGAGTGTTGCCTTGCAGCAACACCTCGCTGCCGACGGTTTCTAAGCTTCTTTCCACCCGGACGCTCGTAAAACGGGTGAGGCTGCGTGCCTACACCATCCTGAAAACATGAGGGCACCTTCGGAGTACTCTTGGCTCTGGGACTGAGAGCTAGTACAAACAGCGTCTCTTTGACCATGCTGCGCTGGAGGCTTGCACATGGACTAGTGTCAGGCATGCTGTGCAAACGCATTACCAAATCCATGGCGAATCCTGATCTCGAGAATATCACCAACAGTTCTGTGCAATCAGAAACACTCATCGAGTCTTCTTGAATTCGCCCCGAACTTACTCGCAGCCGAAGGTTTGCAGGGCGGTATGTACAATGCCCAGCATGAACAGCAGTCTCGCGGTCGATATGTGTCGCTGTTGTAAGAAGATGTCGCAGCTTCCGGCGAAGACAACCAACCATACGCACAGTGCCAGCCCCGACACCATCAGCTGCGAAGAGTTTGACAGGTCGCAGCGCATGGCTGACCGCTCACAGTTGAACGGCAGCCCCGCCAACGGTGGAAGACTTTTGCTCGAAAAATAAGATCCCCTCATTACTGAACACTCACACAAGGTGCAGTGGACAGGGTCAGCTTTGCACCATGCCTGCCTACGACAGAGAGGACGAACGACTTAGAACGTAGGTTGCAGCATCAGCATGAGCACTCGCGATGATGGTGGCGGATTGTCGTTGTCCTAGTCGTACTGACAGTGGTATGGTAGGGTGGTCGGTATAGGGGTAGTAGCAGCAGTAGCAGCAGCAGCAGCAGCAGCAGGAGTAGTAGTAGTAGTAGTAGTAGTAGTTGTTGTAGTTGTAGTTGTAGTGGTAGTGGTAGTGGTTGTCGTCGTCGTCGTCGTAGGGGTAGGAGGAAGAGTAGGAGTACGTAGTAGCAGGCAGCAGCAGCAACAGCAGTGGCAGCAGTAGCAGCAGCAGCAACAGGCCGATGGAAACCCGGAGGCAAGGCAAAAGGTGCGTTGACAACAAGCCCTGTCACCAGCAGGCATGAAGCCATCCCCTCAATTTGCAGCTGACCTTTTCTGCACAACCCAGCTGACGTGGAAGACGAGTTGATGCTCCAAGCCGCGTACGCCTATGTTCTCACAGCTCGCCCTTCCATGCCAGCTTTGAAAGTCATCCGCAATGCCAATGATGTGGCAGACTCATTCAGAGATCTCTGCTGGACCAATGTGCCGATGGCATCTCCCCCCGAACCCTTCTCAAGATTCTCTGTTCCTTTCTGAGAACTGCCGACGTTCCTAGATTTTGTGACTCTCACATTGCAAGCCCGAGGGCCAACTCAACACATCTCAAACTTCGTCGAGTGACTGAACAGCTCATCGGAAACCGGACAGGCGGCATCTAAACACGAAGCACAGCAGCAATGTTGTCCTATCCTTTGGCGCGGACTACGGTGCAATGAACATCTGCACAACTCGAGGTGACACCACCAGCAGCTCTGCAGTCTCCATAGCTTGTATTGCAAAACCCGATATGCAGGAACAGTTTAGCTGCTTAGCTGGGGCGCTCGTCAACTGCCGTTTCCTGAGTTCCCGTTACTTCAGGGTGCTGCGTGGGGATGAAAACTTTCCAGATGCTTAGCCTTAAATCGCATTCAGTCTCGTTTACACATTGCACTTCGCACGTTATGTAGCTGCATGGCGCGGCCTATGAGGAAATGCCTGACAAATACAGGTGGCACGAATAACGATCATTGGCTCTGCGAATTCATGCCGGTTTGAAGCTCTGGCACTGGACATTGCATGCCATGCTTTCTGTCCCCGAACCCTCTTGACTAGTCGTTCAAAACCATGTGATGCTGCAGCTACGAACCATGAGCATGTTGACCAGTGCACGGGATTCAGAGCTCAGGCAGCACGTCTGCAAAGGCCTGCTTGGACTGGAGAGGACATGTTTCGTTGCAAGGTGGCTTGTCAAAATCTGGCAGTGTTCACCACGTAAGCGCGCAGCTCCCATAGCTCAACAGCTCTCTGGAGCAAAGGAGCTTCCAAAATCGACCTCATGGACAAGACACGGGGTTGGGGCTTGCGGTTGCACCATCCTCCAGGCTGCAGTCCCAAGAGCCATCTCTGGTAGGTGCCTTTGCACGAAGAGCCTGAAAGGCAAGGAAGCCAAAAAAATATCGATTGCACTGCCGCTTACAAGCTGAGTGGCAAGTCTGGGCAGCTATTCTCGGCTTTGGCCACGCTTCGAGCTCCTGAGCTGGGCAGTTTGCTTCAGCTCGACATTCATTGGTCATTGATTGGCGTGGATCCTTTCGCAAGAAGCTGAGAGCTGCAGCAGTTGTGACTGCTTGCAACGGTCCCTCGATTTTAAGCATTCGCGTGCGCAGAAGATGCATGCGGTCTTGAATGCCTTCTGCAGATCAGGTGGAAAGAAAGATGGAACCCGCACAGGACATCCTGCAGGAATCAGAGCTGGCGCCTAAAGTCCTTGTTCAAGAATTTTAATCACAACGCTTGTCGCCTCGCGTGCTGGCAAACCGTTCATTTCCTTTCAAATGTTTCTGCCCGCCTCCTGGCGAGACTGGCAACTTAAAGTGATTTCAAAATCTCTACATCTGCTGCCGCAATACCGCGACGCTGTCCTAACGGCAACAGACGACTTTTGGAATTGCACAGCCACAAGACCCACACCAAATCCAAAATACAAACCTCTCACCGTGCTGCATTCTTATTGGACAAGCCCTGTGCCAGCGAGCCCGGCACGTCGCATGGCGATTTCAAGATCCTTTGCAGATAGACTCCTCCGGTGAAAACGTAGCTACTCCAGCTTTTTCAGATGACTATGGGCGCAGATGCGTGAGCAGTCCTCTGGATGCCCTTCTTTGGGGCGCTGGGCTTGACCTCCTTCAAAGGGCCCTGAAAGGGAATCGGATGCGAAGGGTCAGAAGTCGTTGCAGGGAACCGGAAATTCAGTTTCAGGAAACTTGACAGCTCGCCTCGTGTGCGAGATCTCTTCGAACTTCCACCTGCAAGAGGCCAAAGTTCAGTTTCCCTGGACCTCCGTTGCAACTTAGACAAGACAAGGTGATGCCGAATTTGTTGAGCGACAGGTGTTTCCAAAACATGCCGCCAACCTTGACATCGGTAAAGCCTCCAACATCACGAAGCCGTGCTGCATCCGCAAGACTTAGTCGGAGCAGGTTTCTGTCCGCTTGGTGTACAGCATTGCTTCTGGTTGCTTCTGGATGCCTGCCCCCTTTAGGGTTGTTCTTTAGCTTGGATGCTGCTGAAGATTGCTTTCTTGAAGCAGATCGCTTTTGCCAGACTTTGTGGCGCTCTGCACCTAAGCCTTAAATTGTAAGCTACGGGACTGTGGAGGACCTCTTGTGGGTACTCTTGGATGGTTGGCTCCGGGGCAAAAGCTGCCGGCGCGCGCTTTTCGCCACACGGCCTCGCAGTTGCCTGAACATTTTCTCCGACCCACCGCCTCACGACAAAACCTCGGAAACAGCTCAGCACCTCTAATCCCTCTGTCTCCTTTCAGAGCGACTTTAGCAAAAGCATGCTGGGCGGAAAGGGCGAGAGCCCTGAATCTATACCGGCAAGAAAGCTGGCATGGAGTTTGCGGAGTTCTGCAGAAGCACGACACAACACTGAGGCTGATACTTCAGTTTTGCGATGTCCTGTACCTCCGAGCTGTCGCGCGAGGCAAACCGGATCAACATTATCAACAACGTCCTGTCCCCCACGCTCGCTCACACTCGTTATCAAGGGTACTGCTAATTTTCTGCATGCAGGTACGCTTGATACTGTACTGTTGCGACTTGGTTTTGTGCAAACATCAAAAGGTCTGTATCATTCCCCTGTGATTGTCGTGGCGACAGAAACGCAGATTAGGCACGTTGATGACGATGCAGATCTTGGAACTGACGAAGATTGCAAAGCTGGTCAATATGGCATCCCGTTGATAGACTGCTCCCCTTTGCTGCCGGCAACTAGTTGTAGTCGTCGTCGTGGTGGTGGTAGTAGCATTCTTATTATTAGTAGTAGTCA